GCTCAGGAGTAGCACGAGTAGGCTGGACGTGGAAGAATGTGGGAGACAATTTGCTGAATGGCACAGTGGAGGTGTTGACACCAAATGTGATCAAGCCTGATCAACCACAAGAAAATTTGAAAGACAAAGTCATCACCTATCAACAAGCACCAGGTTATGATACAAGAATAGTTCACAGCAGGCAAACTATGGAAGGAAAAAGGAAACTGTCCTGGAATCCAAACCGACCCCATCAACTGTTAACACTGAATTGGCAAGAGCTGCAATTTCAGGAAGTTGATTACTAACCCAAAATGTTCCACACAAAATCGTGATCCCTGACCAGCAGAAATAACAAACAACTGTGAGCTCACTCAGGTCATCAATCCCAATGAGTGGAAGCTCCGGAAGAACTACCATTATCAACTGGTGAACATCTTGGGCTCCAGGTTGAGTCCGAAGGAAAGAAAGAGCCCTGAAGTGGTAGGCCAAGTACCCTTACCAATCATTGAACTATGGATGAAAGGGAATATGCCAGTAAGCATCCAAAGGGTCTACGGAAACAAGCCAATTAATGCTACCTGATGAATCATGGCCACGAGTGATCATGCTGATTCTTGTACAAATAAAGTATTGACCTGTGAGAGATCAAGGATTGACTGGGCATTAAAAAAATTATTTGCAGTCAAGAACAGAATAGAGGAGACCAGCAGAGACCAGATGGTCTCATCATAGACCACCTGGCCAAGTTATCACTGATGTAGATGCAAATAAGTTGAGTAAAGTGTTGGGCAGGTTGAAGGGACACGGCAGTAACAGGAGACTTTGCACAGCAAGACTTTCAGACACAACTTGAAAAGCATAAGTATCTTTGATCTCACAACATGCTGGAGGGCAAGCAGACATCCTCTCACCACACCATCACTGGAACTTACGATGAAATATGTGCCGGGAAGTACAATACAGACAGTAACGATCAACAGTACATACAAGACACTCCCACTAAAGAATATGACCCAATGAGCCCCGACCACTACCTTTTTTCAGTAAATTGAAAATCTCAAACATGATACTGTACTTACAAGAACGAGTGGTAAGGGCTTCAAATAAAATAAAATGGTCTCTCACCACTCAAAAGGGACCAAGTCAAATCTACGGAATGGGCCAATACGACCTTTCGACACATGAAAGAGCCTGAATAAAATGCCACCACCTCCTCCCGAAGGAGACAGACGTACATCTTGGGCAAGGCAGCCCATGTAAGAACTGCAGGAATAAGGCCTCTGTCCCTGGAGTTGACCCCTACAATGCCACATCTGCATGGATTAGATCTGAGAGCCCCTCCATGAGGATCCAAATACGCAACACCACCGCCAAGTGCAGGGGAAGGGACACCAAATGGGACACCAAAGAAGGGACACACATAGGTTCGAAAGGTTTGAACCTTTGGGTTCGAACCTATCCAACCTTTAAAGGTTGGATAGGTTCGAAATTACAAGAGATGAGGTCAAGAAGCACCTATTGGAGCTGGATGTGAGAAAAGCTGTTGGGCCGGATGGAATCTCGCCATGGGTATTGAAAGAGTGTACAGGAGCACTTTGCTTACCACTCTCCATAGTGTATAGTAGGTCACTGGAAACGGGGGACCTACCAGAAATATGGAAGACTGCTAATGTAGTACCAATATACAAAAAGGGTGACAGACAAGAGGCATTGAACTACAGACCAGTGTCCTTAACTTGTATACCATGCAAGGTGATGGAGAAGATTGTGAGAAAAACCTAGTAACACATCTGGAGAGAAGAGACTTCGTGATAACCCATCAACATGGGTTCAGGGAGGGTAAATCTTGCCTTACAGGCTTGATAGAATTCTACGATCAGGTGACAAAGATTAAACAAGAAAGAGAAGGGTGGGCAGACTGCATTTTTTTGGACTGTCGGAAAGCCTTTGACACAGTACCCAATAAAAGGTTGATGCATAAGCTGGAGAAACAGGCAGGAGTAACTGGTAGGGCGCTCCAGTGGATAAGGGAGTACCTAAACAATAGGAAGCAGAGAGGTACAGTGAGGGGTGAGACCTCAGACTGGCGTGAAGTCACCAGTGGAGTCCCACAGGGCTCTGTACTTGGACCTACAGTATCTTGAGGTTATCTTGAGATGATTTCGGGGCTTTTTTTTTTTTAGTGTCCCCGCGGCCCGGTCCTCGACCAGGCCTCCACCCCCAGGAAGCAGCCTGTGACAGCTGACTAACTCCCAGGTACCTATTTACTGCTAGGTAACAGGGGCATTCAGGGTGAAAGAAACTTTGCCCATTTGTTTCTGCCTCGTGCGGGAATCGAACCCGCGCCACAGAATTACGAGTCCTGCGCGCTATCCACCAGGCTACGAGGCCCCTCTCCTGTTTCTGATATACGTAAATGATCTCCCAGAGGGTATAGACTCATTCCTCTCAATGTTTGCTGACGACGCCAAAATTATGAGAAGGATTAAGACAGGAGGACAGCTTGAGGCTTCAAGAAGACCTGGACAAGCTGCAGGAATGGTCGAACAAATGGCTGTTAGAGTTTAACCCAAGCAAATGTAATGTAATGAAGATAGGGGTAGGAAGCAGGAGACCAGATACAAGGTACCATTTGGGAGATGAAATACTTCAAGAGTCAGAGAGAGAGAAAGACCTGGGGGTTGATATCACGCCAGACCTGTCCCCTGAAGCTCATATCAAGAGGATAACAGCAGCAGCATATGCCAGGTTGGCTAACATAAGAACGGCCTTTAGAAACTTGTGTAAGGAATCTTTCAGAACATTATATACCACATATGTCAGACCAATCCTGGAGTATGCGGCTCCAGCATGGAGTCCATATCTAGTCAAGCATAAGACTAAAATGGAAAGATTCAAAGGGTTTCCACCAGACTAGTACCCGAGCTGAGAGGTATGAGCTATGAGGAGAGACTACGGGAATTAAACCTCACTTCGTTGGAAGACAGAAGAGTTAGGGGGGACATGATCACCACATTCAAGATTCTCAAGGGAATCGACAGGGTTGATAAAGACAGGCTGTTTAACACAAGGGGCACACGCACTAGGGGACACAGGTGGAAACTGAGTGCCCAAATGAGCCACAGAGATATTAGAAAGAACTTTTTTAGTGTCAGAGTGGTTGACAAATGGAATGCATTAGGAAGTGATGTGGTGGAGGCTGACTCCATACACAGTTTCAAGTGTAGATATGATAGAGCCCAATAGGCTCAGGAACCTGTACACCTGTTGATTGACAGTTGAGAGGCGGGACCAAAGAGCCAGAGCTCAACCCCCGCAAGCACAACTAGGCGAGTACAACTAGGTGAGTACACACACACACACAAGGGAAGGAACATGAGGCACAGATTTAGTCCTGATGGAGGCCATGAACTCTTCCAATTCTGGATCATGAACACCATGGGGGCTAGCACCAGGCATCCAGTCAATCAATATGCCACAAATACCTTCACAAGCAAACCTCACTTGCAAAGCGGCAGCTGCCTGAAAAGCCTCCAGTTGGGAGGTGAAATCTGTTACCACAGTGAGAACAAACCTCACAGACCTAACAGGTATCATGGCAGGGACAGAAAGAATCATCATCATCTGGTAGCATAGATGATGAGTGCCCCTCAAACTCTCACTTGGCAAAGTCAGGCTCAAATGGCCAGCCCATAACAGACCACGGCACAGACCTACAGCCCATTCCGAGGGCCTGAAGATGGTTAACCAAAGAGAGATTCCCAGTCACTGGGGTCACTTGCAAGAACAACAGTCACCATCTGCAGCTAAAACAAGAAGGCAATGATAGGCAACCATAACTGACGTATAAACAAGCACTGCAAACCCCAGTGCACCTAAACACTGCCAGCAAGGGCCCAAACAGAGGAACTGAAGATCCCTGATTAGTCCAAGGCGAGGCTCTCCTACTTGGTGGTCAGGCCTATCAGAGACAAAGTCCAAAACATAACAAAGACAGTAATTTTACTGTGCAAGAGCAGCTTTAATTGGCACCAAGGGAAGAAAGTTCATGCAGACCAAAATGAAAGAGGAGCAAGCGCACACAACAAGCCAGAATGAAAACACAAGTGGAGCTAATACTAAAATACCGGAAAATACATAAATCAAATGGCCCCCGCAGGACAACAGAGTCCAAGGATGGCCAACACTTAGTAGGTCAGTTTAGCATGGAGCAGAGGAGCTTTCTTTCTCACTATATGATAGACCAGAACACTGAAACTCAAAACTCTTCTTTATCAGCAACAGAACTGATCAGGGAAGTCAGCTGGGGGCTGGGCCAGGCTGCCTTGTGGTATTTGGTACCAACAAGTTTCAAACTATTTTAAGTGAATCTCTCATTCTGGTTTGATCATTTGCAGAGTTGTTTGGTGTTTCTGAAGCTTCATTTTTCTGTGAGCCCTCTAGTTGTCTGTAAATCTTCGCCAACTTTCTGGAGGCTTTTCCCAGTGGGGTGGCAGATTGTCACCCATTCCCAGCATCTCTGAAGGGACCAGGGGCCAGATTCACGAAGCAGTAATGCAAGTACTTACGAACGTGTACATCTTTTCTCCATCTTTGACAGCTTTGGTTACATTTATTAATTAATTTACAAGCATGAAAACTTCCCAATCAACTGTTGTAATTGTTATAAACAGCCTCCTGCTGCTTCGGAGCTCATTAACTGTTTAATACAGTAATTGTAAACAAAGCCGCCAAAGATTGAGAAAAGATGTACGGGTTCGTAACTGCTTCGTTAATCTGGCCCCAGATTCTGGCTCGGGTTCCCAGTAAGCCAAACTGATGTGTCCTTCTAGTATGGCACAATCTCAACAAGATAGCTTCAGTGACACACCGGGACATTCCCTCCAGAAAACAAGGCAGAAAATTGGTAAACCCGTGTGCTGCACGAATCATATACAACTGCTCAACAGTATTTTGGATTATCCCTTCTCATTTTAGATGGAGATGGGGCAGAGGGGGTTTAATGAACGCTCACTCACCTGGAGGTACTGCGCCGCCACCTCCCCAGTTGTTGAATGTAGTAAAAATCCCAAAAGGAAATGCACCAATACCAAAATGAAACTGGAACCCCCCAGCATCTCCAAAGCCAAATCCGGGCATAAATCCATTCTGTGGTTCAGGTTCTGTGCGTTGTCCAGGAGGTCGAGGTGGTAGCTTATTTCTGCAATGGGTTAAACAATATTTGCTACTGCCATCATGCACAGCTATTCTCTCCTCCCCCCCCCCCAATTAAATGGATCACATCTAACATTATTTTATTTCAACAGCATATTTAATGTCATTTGATTTCAGTATCAAAGATACAGTGTGCTAGCAACATGTAAATTGTTTGATGTAGTTTACAGACATGCTGACATCAGTAGAATATACACGAGAAAATTGTTACTTCTTACTGATAAAGAAAATATGTGAAAATAATAATAGTTTGAACCTCCCCCCCCCCCAGAAAAGAGGAAAAATGGCTAAAAGAAGACACATGAGGAATATATATATAAATACAGTATATAGAAATGTACAGTTATCAGCCACATGATAACATGCCTGTATTTCAGCACCTTGGTACCCTGTTGATGCATATATGGGTAGACGTATATTACACTATGCATTTCCTGGTTGTGCCCTCACTGGTATTGCTGGTTATTGCTATTTTGAAATGTTTGCCCCCATTGTCAGGGATGGGGGCCTGTTAGGCCAAACAAGGTCCCCTTAGGGTAGACACTGACCTTCCCCCCCAGGATACAACCCACAACAGTTCCCTAACTCAGAAAGGTCAAGGCCATAAGACCAGAAGACAAATGCAAGGAGTCCAGACAAGCAGGGAAAGACAACCAAAAACCCAACGCAACGTGGGGCATGGCACATAGCTCACACCAACCCAAACTCCCGAAGCTCACAAAAGGAGAAGCATCCTTGTGTCAAAGTTAATTAAGCCTAAAACCAGAAAAGAAATCTACATGGCTGGAAGAACAACAGCTGGATATACTGTATACATGCAAATATATACAGTATAGTGGAACCTCGGTTTTCGAATGCCCCTGGTTTCAAATTTTCGGTTCTCGAGCCCAATTTCTTTGAGAAATTTGACTCGGTACTCGAAGTTTGCCCTGGTGCTCGAGTTTGTTGATATACGTATGGGCCGACCGACCACATGGCATGATTCAGTTTACCAGTGTCTCCCGCCTAGTGACCACCACTCTTGAATTCTTTGTGAAGAATTTAATTGTTTTTATGCTTTTATGATTTCTGAACATAAACGTTTTTATTATATATCACATCATGGGTTCCAAGAAAGTCAGTGGTAATGTTCAGCCTAAGAAAATAGTTGTGAGGATCTATCTTGAGGTTATCTTGAGATGATTTCGGGGATTTTTAGTGTCCCCGCAGCCCGGTCTTCGACCAGGCCTCCACCCCCAGGAAGCAGCCCATGACAGCTGACTAACACCCAGGTACCTATTTACTGCTAGGTAACAGGGGTATAGGGTGAAAGAAACTCTGCCCATTGTTTCTCGCCGGCGCCTGGGATCGAACCCAGGACCACAGGATCACAAGTCCAGCGTGCTGTCCGCTCGGCCGACCGGCTCCCTTTTGGGAGCCTTTTGGATGACGATAGAGGAAAAACAAGAGATCATTCATAGTGAGACAATGTGATGTCTCACTACAAAATGTAGGGAAAACAAGTGTCTATAGACAAATTCTTAGTAAGACAAGCAAGCAGTGAGCTACAACCAGGTCCTAGTGGTATGCAGGTAAAATGTAAGAGAGAGAATACCCCACAAATGTCAATACTGCTGTTATAATGAAAGGGGACTCCCCTTCCAAACACTAACACCTCTCCTCCTCCCCCTCTTCCTCACTGTCTTCGATACGTCAACAAGAGTCCTCAATAAAGGTAAGATACCCATGAGTATTATTCTGTATAAAATGTATTTTTTAGTTAATATTTTTGGGGGTGTGGAACGGATTAATTCAATTTACATAATTTCTTATAGGAAAATTCGTTTTGGTTTTCAAATTTTTGGTTTTCGAATCGTCTCTGGGAACAGATTAAATTTGAAAACTGAGGTATCATTGTACATACCAAGCACAAAGAGCTTGTCTTCAATACAATGCCAACACCCAAAAAGCAGCAGAGTGACATGGAACATTGTAAAAGACATTCACCTCCACACCATCAAACTCGTTGCCTAGTAGGCCACATCAGGCATACCACATCCTACCATAGAAGAGTAAAGGCACAGAGCACTTGGCTCTGGGAAAACACCCCCCCAAAGGGCACTCTGACCTTGGAAACCCCCCAAGGGCACTCGGCCTTGGGACCCCAGACACTCGGTCTTGATAATACCCACTCTCGACCCAAGCACTCGGCCCCAGGAATCATCACATATATAGTCTGGGAACTATCGGCACTGTCCAAAGCCAGGGCAAGAACCTAGTATCAGGAAAAGGAAACACAACCCCAGATAAAACAAAAATCGAGCATTGAGGATCATAAAATGGCTCCTTCCGATGGGTTCCATTGGCAAGTACTCGAACTACTTCCCTGGTTAGTTACAAAGCTAAGCACCCTATCAGGCCTTTTGAATCACAAGTGAGTACCAGAGAGCAGGAACAGAATCTGGGTTCCTCATAAGAGGCAAGGGAGTTTGGGAATACTAGATCAGCCCAAGACAAAACAAAACCTCCACCAGAATGGAAGAATGCCCCAAAACAAACAACTGCATAGAAACAGTGATAACCTAGAACACTCGTCAATCAGACTCGACTACTAGATAGTTTACTTGTCCACCACCAGAAGGCAGCCCAAACAGCTCGGATCTCCCACTGCTGCCTCTCTGAAACATGTGCCACTAAAAACGACCCCCGAGAACCCTAGGAGGAGGGAGGGTGGGAATGGAGAGCCACTGAAAAGACTCATAAAAAAAAAGAGGTGATTATTTACATTCAATGCTGGATTTCTGGGAGGGATCCCTTTGATGGCTTGTGGCTACCTGAGGTAACTCACCATAGAGAACAAATAAATTGAGACTTACCATATCAAGAAGGAAGGAGCAACCAGTAACCTGAAAGGGAAAGTGAGTAACCCCGGCCAAAGAAACCATGACTCGATAAACAAAGGCTCCCTCTGAAACCCACCAACACTGTCTCAGTCAGAAAGGAAGAATATAGCTGCCGGCACAGGAACCCCCCCCCCCCTCCTTGACCAAAGGAACAAAAAACCAACATATAGAAAACATCTTGGACCATATGGGCACAATGAAACTAGAAAAATAAGTGCATGATACAGAGACCATGGAGGCCAAAATAAGATCAAACAAACCACAGGCGAAAAAGGACACCAGACGGATTGTGAAAAGACGAAGATGAAACATCAATGCCAAAGAAAAAGGCTCTGTCAAAGCCGACCAATAGGAAGTGACAATTTTAGACATCAAATGACAGTCAAGAAACAGCTAAGAATGAAGACAGGATGACCAGAGCCAATACCAAAGCCAGGCAACAAAGACGAAAAATAAAAAAAAACATCGTGCCAAGCAATGTGACGCTGCCACTGAGAAGCTGCAAATGTAACACCATAAGCATCACCAAAGGATTCCAAAAAGTCCAAGATGCATAATTACAAAAAACACAACATATTTTCCTCTACTCATCTTTCAACTTGGAAAATTTAGCATTTCTACAGAACATACATTTTATAGGAATGGTATTATTTGTATTTGTCAAATAAATTTATATTTAAGAAAAGTGCATAAAGTTCTGTTATTGTATTTTCAAATACAGTACTGTAATAAGAGTAAATAGATTACCTGCACTTATTACTTCATGCTGCATCCTTGATAACACATTCTATAATACACCTAATTATAGTATGTAATCAGATTAGTGGACAAATGAGATAGACTGACCTTGGATCCTGCTGATTTCCAGATCCTCTGCCGTACAGTGGTATCACCTTCTCTCGTGAAATTGCCGCTTTACAAACAGGACAAGTTTGATTGTTTGGTCGAGTTTCTAGCCACTGGTGCAAGCAAGGCCAACTGTAAGATGATTTTTCATAACAAATATTCAAGCTTAAAAAAAAATTAAAAAGTTGTGTAATCAATAAAGACTGTCAACTGTATGAACAGTAGACATCAGCTAATATACTGTAGCCACAGTTCACAAACGGTGTTGTATATGGTTACCAAATTAATGCCATCAATTTTAAGTGCACAACACTTATCCCTAAAACATGTGGCTAGCCATCACTGTACAGATGTAATTCACACCGCACAATGACAGGCAATTCACTCGGTCTCTCTTCCCACTGTTTTTTGGTTTCACATTCTTCAACTGAATTAGTTACTTGATGTGCATTTCACAGTTTGGAGGTAAGTTTAATCTTAGTAACTACTGAGATGAACTGTATCCATTTTTTGTATCACAGATGTGAAGAGGAGGAAGTTAGAGAAAAGCCAAATGGTGAAAGCCCTCGATCATTGAATGTTACCATTGCTGATGCAGTAAAGGGAAGGGAAGGGAAGGGAAGGGAAGGGAAGGGGGGTACAGTCAAGAGTGATCATGACCTAAGCCACAGCAGTGTTGCATTATATCGGCAGACACAACAAGTTTTACATTAAAGAAGTCAAAGATCATAGCTGCAACATGCCAACCGAAGTTACAATTGCTTCTAAGCTACTTTACAGTACAATGTTTATTAATATCCATCAAAGACTAAAACTATTCCCATAAGATTTTCAACGAGACCATTCTCAAGGTGGCTCATGTACTTCACAGGTTGTCTAATCTCAACTTCTAGTAATAATAATAATAATGTAATGACTCGTATATAATGTCTACTTATTATTTGTTAGTTGTTTAATTTGTGTCAATGTCAATTTTCATTATAGTACTTAATTTCAACGTCGTCAAGTTGTGTGAGAGAATATCAGTGTGTATCTGTGTGTGGAGTTCATGAGGGTGGCATTGCCGCCTCCACCCTCCCTCAGAGTGCATCCGGGCTTGACTAACTGAAGGTGTCTGTTAGGGTGTACTTGCGAGGCATCCACCTCATTATTGCGCGATTATTTGCCTCAATTTTCTAATTGAGACCGAGTACAGTAGTCGATCCTGTGAGTTGAGAAATTTATTCTACGTTGTATTACAGTATGTCCCATCCCTTTCATTTTTTCTTTAAATACTGTAAGTGTAATGTATGTATTTTGCTGGTTTGTTTGAATCTTTAGATTCATGTCACAGTTGTATCAGTCACTTTGTGTCCATTCATATTTGAAGTTTATCTTTATGTACAGTACTGTATTACATTACAATGACCATACCACACGTCGAAAAATGAAAAATGTAATTTATATATTATTCTGTATTACACATGTTCTGTACTGTATTCCTATTTTAAAGTTACATGTACTGTAAGGAGGAAGATTTTTACTGTTTTTATTGTATATGTACTAAATAATCCGTCTTACAATAAGAGGTGAAAGTTGGAGTCAAAATGCTAGAATATTTTCTTTCCTTTGTTTATGATGAGATTTGAGCCTCAGGAAAGGTACTGGAATAGTGTAGGTATTTAGCCCTATGTCTTCCTTAGAACATAATCCACAAAATTGTTTGACATCCAATGTACTTTATGAAAAGGAGACTTTTAGAAGTGATCAAGTAAGTTTTAGAGGTGCAGGCGATGAGTCACAATAACGTGGCTGAAGTATGTTGACCAGACCACACACTAGAAAGTGAAGGGACAACGACGTTTTGGTCCGTCCTGGACCATTTTCAAGTCATCCTGGAATTGAGAATGGTCCAGGATGGACCGAAACGTTGTCATCCCTTTACTTTCTAGTGTGTGGTCTAGTCAACAAGTTTTAGAGCTTTATGCCAGTCACTGAGCCAGATTTAGTCTTACCAGAAGAGGTGGCCACACAAGGAGATAACGGCATCTTTTGCTGTGTCGAGGCATATATTACACTCAAAGTTTGAGTTGTCCGTGGACTCGTCACCTCCGCCTTCTGCTCCACCCGAGGCATTGTTGCTGCTCTCACTCCGACTGTCACTGCTACTAGTTGGCCCAGCTGTCGCCATCTTGGCACGGCTGGTTCGACAGACAACTTTCTGGTACTCTTCTTTGGTCTGCACTCCTCATGAAATTTCTGTGAATAAAATAATTAAAAAATAATTCATGATCAATTTACTGTATTCCAACATTCTAATTTAATATATTAATATAATTATTTAATTCATTCAGATAAAGCTGCTATTGTATCTGAATACCTAATTTCAAAGTTACCATATTAAACCCTGATATAGAGTGGAAACTCGATTCCAAACCTTGATTCGGCAAATCTCCAATTGGAACACACTTTCTACCTTACCTTGAGGTTACCTTGAGGTGCTTCCGGGGCTTAGCGTCCCCGCAGCCCAGTCGTCGACCAGGCCTCCTGGTTGCCGGACTGATCAACCAGGCTGTTGGACGCGGCTGCTCGCAGCCTGACGTATGAGTCACAGCCTGGTTGATCAGGTATCCTTTGGAGTACTTCTATGCCAGATTTACTCATCCAATTCCTTGAGTAAAGGTGAGTAAAGCGGGTGAGTAATTTGCATGAGTAAATTAAGCAAGTAAATCATGTGGTTTGCTGGTGGGTAAGAGAACTTCAAGATAACCTGAAGATAACCTCAAGATAACCGAGTTGTTCCAACCCACCAGCCAGAAATTCTTTCTGGCTTTCTGACTCATTTTCTGGGTGAGTCCCGGAGGCTCCCCGGAGCTATCCCAGGCTGATATGCTAATGTCAGACTTTGGCATCAGTCATGTGTATGGAGTTCTTAGGCCTACCGGGGACCACAGCCAGAACCGGCCCCCTCAGAGAGGCAAGGGGAGCAATGGCCTATAGAAGCCCCTGTGTGGTTGGAAGCATTCTATGTCTGCCATCGACCGGAACAGGCACCCAGAAAGGTAAGTGCCTCAAAACAAACCCCTTTTCTGGTTAAAATTGCTACCAAAAGCCGAACTAGTGGATAGAACTCCCCAACCGAAAACAAGCAAACTAGTGTGACGTCACACACCGCCGCGCCGCTGTCTGCGCAGCTCCCCCCTCTCCGGGAGGGGGAAGAGGGAGCCCAAGACCCCCCACGCCGGCTACCCACACCTCAGTTCTTGAGGCTGGATGTCAAAAACGCGAAAAAACGCCGACCGGAGGGAGGGAGGGATGCCGGGGAGCCTCCGGGACTCACCCAGAAAATCGCGTTTCATTACATTCAACGCTGGTTTTCTGGGGGGAGCCCCGTCGGCTCCCCGGAGCTAACTACCCACAGACGGAAAAAGAGGGATTTACCCGGGAGGCGGTCGTCGCTCACTCCTCAACTCGAAGCCGAGACAACTGGCTGCAACCGCCGACCCAAAGCAACACAGGCCCGACGGGGCCCAGGGACATTCACAAGGTAACGAGCAGCCAGGACCCTGTTCGACCGCCAAAATCCCCGCGCCCGAATATCGGACCAAGACATGTTCCCAAAGACGGCAGCAAGAGCCGCGAACTTACGAACGTCATGGGCACGGGGATAGACCGCAGGCTGGCTGGACTTAATAACCCTGCGGACGACCTGGGAGACCCGAACCCGCGAACAGGGAAGAAGGGAAACCGGATCAACCCACAGCACGTCCCCGGACACAGAAGCTGTGGCGCACAAATAACGGCGAAGCGCCGCAACCGGACACGAAACATGATGCACCCCCGGCCTGACCAACCAAGCATCAACCACCCATGGACCCCTCCGGAACGCAGCAGTCTCATTCTTCGCCAGAAAAGAAGGAGACGGCTGCAAACGAACAAAACTATCACCACGACCAAAAGAGCAGAAACCCCTGCGCCGGAGGAGAGCATGAAGCTCCCCTACCCGACCCCCAGAGGCCAAAGCCAACAAGAAAAGTGCCTTGGAAAAACAATCCTGGACCGAAGGGGCCACAACGAAACGAGGAGACGAAAGGAAAGCGAGCACTGTCCAAAGACCAGGACGGCTCAGGCGACGCATGAGCAGGCCGGAGGTGAAACAATGCACGAGACAGCTTGCGAAACGGCGCAGACGTAACATCGATACCGAAAGCAAGCTGAAGCGGCTCCGCCAGCGCCGCACGATACGAAGCGACAGTGTTAGGCATAAGATGACGGTCCTGAAACAACCACGAGAGGAAGGACAAGACCACCCGAACAGACAAGGAACTAACACGTCGAAGACGCAAAAAGAAACGGAAGGACCGCCAGGAAGAAGCCCTCAGATGGGACACCAACAAGGAGGCCACCTGATCACCATAGAGATGATGACAGACTCGAGTCAAAAAAACCATACGCGAAGACTCGAGGAGAAGATCGAACCAGCCACGTGACGTACCGGCCCGATCTGCTGAAAGAGGCGGAGCCGCGAGAAAACCCTCGGGTTCGGACACCGAGCAACCAGCGCCTGAAACCAAGGCTGGGCCGGCCACCAAGGGGCCAGAAGGACAACTCTCCCCTGGTAAGTCTCTAAGCGAGTCAGGACCTGGAGCAACAGCCGAACGAGGGGAAAGAGGTACAGGAACCCCCACCCCGACCAGTCTATCCGAAAGGCATCGACCCCGACGGCCTCGCGATCGGGAAAGGGCGCCGCATAAACGGGAAGACGCCGCGACCACGCCGACGCGAAGAGGTCCACCTCGGGGCGCCCGAACGTTCTGGCAAAGACAACGGAAGGACTCGTCGTCGACCGTCCACTCCGTGGAGAGGGGAACGAAGCGAGACAGGGCGTCGGCAAGACGTTGGACACGCCCCGTACGTGAACCGCCAGGAGAGCCAAACCCCAAGAACTCAGCAGACGAGTCACCCGAAGCGACCAACCCCAAAGAGACAAGGACCGCATTGAACCCCCGCGGTTCAGGCAATGAACCACCGGAGAGCAGTCCGAATGGAGCCGAATCGTCGATCCGCGGGCCACCCGAATCCTCCCCAGAGCAAACCACACTGCCGCGAACTCCCGCACCATGCTATGAGCTCGACGGAAGGACGGATCCCAATGCCCCTGGCCGGCCTGGTGAGCACTGGTCACAAAACCCCAGCCGAGAGACGACGCATCCGTGTACACATCGAGCGAGGGCTCGGGTAGGTGCCAAGGCACTGAACCCCGAAAAACCCGAAGAGGAAGCCGGTGACGCAGCAACCGACGCAAGGCCCCCGGGGGTCGAACTCTGCGATCGCGAGAGAGGCGGAAGGGGGAACCCCGAAGGAACCAGAACAGCCGTCGAAGCCAAACCCGACCCGGCGGGTAGACCACCATCGCGAAGTTCAGGCTCCCGCACAGCCCCTCGAGCAACCGCCGGGTGACCCGAGGGACCTCCAGAAACAGACGAAGGCGGGACCGCAGCAGCAGGAGAGACTTTGGAGGGAGAGACAAGGAGGCGGTTCGAGAGTCCCACGCAGGAGGTAAGCTGCAAAGGCCACACGCACCACACCAGGTTGGATGCGATAAGCCGAAAACCTCCGGAAGGACGGAACCGACGTACCCGGGGGAACACGGAACCGAACCCGGGGAGGGGCGACACCAAATCCAACTCGTACGCAGAGGGGGGGAAAAGAAAACCCCACTCCTTGTAACAATAAGCCCCGCTACCTTGTCTATTTTCTCCTATTTCAGCTTTAGACCAAGTATCCCTTCGGGAATATCATGTCATTTAAAAATGATGTTCCCAGTATAATTTCCACAGGTGCCAATGATATCAGGGATCTTCAGTTGATATTTTATCCTTTAATATCCCTTTGTTATGTACATTCATTCACTTGTACACCTCTATCATGTCACCTTAATTCTTCCCCTTTCTAGAGAATGTAACTTAAGCTTTGTCAATCTTTCTTCATATGACAGGTTTCTAATTTGGGGGGATAACTTTGTCATCCTACGCTGGATGCGTTCTAGTGAATTTGTATCCATTCTATAGTATGGCGACCAAAACTGAACTGCATAATCTAAATGGGGCCTAACCAGAGCAAGATATAACTGAAAAACAACACCAGGTATCTTATTACTAACGTTTCGATTAATAAATCCAAGTGTCCTATTTGCCTTATTACGAACATTTAAGCATTGATTTTCAGATTTTAAATTTTTACTAATCATAACTCTCAGATCCCTTTCGCAATCTCAACACCATCTAGTTCGTAAGTATTTTGTAACTATATCATCATTACTTAGCCTCAAAACCTTACATTTGTCAGCATTAAACTGCATCTGCCAATCTTTTGACTATTTCAAACCCCTAATTAGATAGACCTGAAGTGATAGTGAAGTGATAGTGAGTCTTTTTCCACGTTTATTTCCCTCCCGATTTTTGTATCATCGGCAAATCTGCAAATATTGCTGCTCAAACCTGAATCAAAATCATTTATATATATTTTAAACAACAGAGGTCCCAGGACAGAGCCTTGAGGTACTCCACTTACAACATTTTCTGACTCTGACTTAACCACATTTATACTAACTCTTTGTTTCCTTTGGTATAGCCATGCCCTAATCCAACTTAATATAGCACCCCAATACTGTGAGCCTCTATCTTTTTAATCAGTCTTTTTATCTGGCACTGTATCAAAAGCTTTGCTAAAGCCAAGATACACAACATCACAAACCTTACCACTATCAACTGCCTCAACTAAGCTGGAATAAAATGAGAGCAAATTTGTTAAACATGAACGGCCATTTGTAAAACCATGTTGTGAATCCTTTATTAATTTATGTTTTTCAAGATGAAGAGTGAGAATCAATAATTTGCAATTATTGATTCAAGTAACTTTCCCACATGATGATGATAACTGCTGACTAAGGGTTAATAGTTTTTAATTGGGCAATGGAAAATAACATGATGTTAGACAGTCTTACGTTCCAGGTACTTAAGTATGGTGGAAACGAGGAACTTAATCAAAATACATGACACAGGACATAAACAGACTTACTCATAAAGGAAAACAACATATAAAAGATCTGGGAATTATGATGTCTGACAGCATTTCAGTTCCCATGGTGCAGTGGTAAGGTACTCATACAGTGTTTCGTGAGCACTTTGGCCTGGGTTCGTATCTTGGCCAGGGAGGATTGACTGGACACCAATCCTTAACTGTATCCTGTGTTTACCCAACAGTGAATGGATACCTGGTTGTTAAACAATTTGGCGGGTCGTATTCCGGAGGAAAATTAGGATTAAGGACCTGCCTGAAATGCTATGTGTGCTGGTGGCTTTACAAGAATGTAAGAACTCTTGTATATACAGTGTATACATAAAAAAAATTAGTGAACATAACCAAGCAAATATAGTGGCAGCCAGGAAAATGATTGAATGGATTCTACGAGAACCTTCAAATCCAGGGATTCCACAGCAATACTAATACTATATAAATTACTAGTACTGTCCCATCTTGAGTACTGCTCAGTACTCGCTTTCTCTTTCAGAGTAGGAGAGTTTTCTGAAACTGAGGGAATACAGAGAAGATATATGGCAGGCATGGACATGATAAAACACCTAAATTATTGGGACTGTCTGAAAGCCCTCAAGATGTACTCTCTGGAAAGGAGACAAGAGAGTTATCAAATAATATATAATGGAAGATATTGGAAGGCGAGATTCCAAATTTGAGCAGTAGAATAACTACATACTGGAGCGTAAGATATGGAGGGAAATGCAGAAAAGAACCAGTAAGGAATAGAGGTGCCATAGGCACAATCAGAAAGCACTGTCTGAATGTCAGAAGTCCACAGCTGTTCAACACCTTCCCAGTAAGCATTAGAAATATTGCCGGAATAAAAGTGGAAGTCTTCAAGAAGCATTTAGAGAAGTTCTTGCAAGTAGTGCCAGACCAGCCAGACCAACCAGGCTGTAGTGGATATGTGGTCCACTTCAAGCAACAGCTTGTTGGACCAAATTATCACAAGTTGAGCCTGGCCCCAGGCTGGGAAAGAAGAGTGGAAGAGCTCCCAAAACCCTCTCCAGGTATGCCCCAGGTATGCTCCAGGTATGCCCCAGGTATATTTACCTGAATTTACCTGAGGGCCACTAACACACTACTGTCCTCAACAATGACAGGAAGCCAGCAGCTTGTCAAAGATTCCCCATTTGCCCTGATGATGCATGCAGGAAAGATGAATGAATGAATGGATGGATGGATGGATGTATATGTATACAGTATATATACACACACTGTGCAAGGTGCTTGACATTGCTACAAGGTAATTAGTCCACATTAACACATATGTATTTAAACACCCAGAGGAACATGAACAAAAGAACATAATTAGGGAACACCACAGCTGGCCTTATTGGCCCATATTAAATGGGTCCTATTTAAATCCACCATTTTTCCATATACTTCTCCAAAGTATTCTTGAGGCATGTTAGTCTTATTAATGCTACAGTTGAAAGCCAATTCCACTCATCCACAACCCATATTGCCAAACCTCCACTTTTGTGTATCTTGTACAATAAAATTTCTCCAGTCTGAAAATGTGAGAATTTATTATGTTACCCGAGGACCACCAACACTAATAGCCATGATGAGGACAGGAAGCCCTCGGCTTGTCAAACGTCCCCCCAATATTGTTGGGGTTGTGACCAGTTCTGGCAGTTAAACCCCCTATTGTTATATCTCCCTCCTCTACCCCCCCCTCCCCCACAACATACTTGAAAACGATGAGAGAAGAAAGAGGTTTACCGGTAGTAGTGTCCCCGGGAGACGTCCTATAGACACGTCCTGTGGACTGTTGTTTAGTGTTGGTAATGGCTGTCCTGCTGCCTCACCACCGCTCACCATCACATGTCACTACACCGCTATAATGACCCACACACACTCTCTCCTCCTATCTCCAGCCTTTCGCGAGTCTCTACCTCCCTCTCCTCCCCCCTGAGCGGTTTACACGGCGTGTGAGTATACCAGGGGGAGAGTACAAGAGCAGTATACCTCCCAGACCTACACACACAACTATGAAAACTCTACCTCTGATATCCCAGGCTCACATAACCAGCTTATCCCCCCTAATAAATAAGACTCTACTAAAACACAGCTTATGCTGCACTATTAAAACATGCTGTTAATATTTCTTTGTGACTCTTAATGGAAAAAAATCGAATATTAACACAAGATTAACTGAAAATAAGAAAGAGAGATGTGGATTACTTGAACCGACACTAAGGGTCGACCTCGGTCCTGTGAGGTAAACACAGGCGCCGTGACGTGTCCCTTCCCATGTAACTCCCGTCCCATGTAACTCCCGTCCCATGTAACTCCCGTCCCATGTAACTCCCGTCTCATGTAACTCCTGTCCCATGTAACTCCTGTCCCATGTAACTCTCTTCCCATGTAACTCCCTTCCCATGTAACTCCCTTCCCATGTAACTCCCTTCCCATGTAACTCTCTTCCCATGTAACTCTCTTCCCATGTAACTCTCTTCCCATGTAACTCCCTTCCCATGCAACTCCCGTCCCATGTAACTTGTCCCATGTAACTCTTGTCCCATGTAACTCCCGTCCCATGTAACTCTTGTCCCATGTAACTCCCGTCCCATGTAACTCCTGTCTCATGTAACACCAACCACAGCACCTCCTGCTACCACATCATCTGCAGCTGCAAAACTTGCTCTCTCCAGCTATGTTTCTCAACAGCCTGACAAAATCACTACATTATATGTTCATCTTGATGAAACCAGTCCGTCAGCAGAACTATACTTCTCACGAACCAAAATACAGTCACTGTAGACTACAGCACCAAAGAACAAACAATTGCAGTCTCCGTGGTGTAGTGGTAAGACACTGGCCTGGCGTTCCGCGAGCGCTATGTCATGGGTTCGTATCCTGGCCGGGGAGGATTTACTGGGCGCAAATCCTTAACTGTAGCCTCTGTTTAACGCAACAGTAAAATGTGTACTTGGATGAAAAAACGATTCTTCGCGGCAGGGGATCGTATTCCAGGGACCATAGGATTAAGGACCTGCCCGAAACGCTACGCGTACTAGTGGCTGTACAAGAATGTAACAACTCTTGTATATATCTCAAAAAAAAAGAAAAAAAAAAAAAAACCAGCCTGCCTGTCGGGAAACCGACACACACATACAACCACACACACAAATAACACAGTCTCCCCTAGTCTATACTCCCTTCAGGATGGAAAATGGGAGACTCCGTGACGTCATCGACTCCGTGACGTCATCAAAGTCATCGTATATTTACATTATGAAACATTGTTAATAGATTAGTTTAGTATCTAAAGTTAATAAAAAAGTAATCACTAAGAATGAATATAATTATTTACATCAAATAGTAGCTAGGTTCCCTTGTTAATGTAAAATTACTTTGAGTGGAGAACCAGAGCATAAGAGCGTCACCCCGGAGAGGAAGGCGTGCATACAACAATATAAACAAAACATGGGATGAGCATACCACGCTGTCTTAACTGGTGTAAACAGCTAGACACCCCATTTACGTGTCAACACCAGCCACACAGCCTAACAACATCACAACGACATCTGTATCCGTCTACCAAGTATTGTTTATTATTCAAGTGCACTGTTTAATATAAATATGTAGATGGTTATGTCGTAGGACATCCCCAAAAACACCGTACGTGTACCCCATTACAGCCCCCACAGTTCATGTCATACCTGTAATTGATATGTTTAGGGAACTTTGATTAATTCCTTGCATCCCATACAGGTAAATTGTGAGAGGAGCTTCAAGAATCTGTGCAGACAGTTGGTTCATACACATAATTAACTACTTGTTTGCCAAGCCTTGTCCTTCCCTCCAGCCGCCATTACGTGGCACAAAGAGGCAGGGCCACACCCATCTTGAGGCTACACCTACACGCCTTACTAGGCCCATTCTACTGGCACAGCTAAGACATTATAGCAGTAGCAGTAGTTATAATTAATTACTTATAATGAAATAACTGAAATAATAGTTTTAAAGGTAAACAATTGGTAGTTTAAGAAGGGACCATAACATAGTGGTTTAAGCTACCAATTGTCCCTCCAATAGTGTGTAAGAAGATTTCAGGCAGTTTACCAGTACATACAGTCCACTTAATTAATACTTACTTACTAAGAAAATAAATAAGACATAACTTTATTTTATTAAATCAATTTGAAAAGAGAAATTAGCTGCCTGGATTTTTCCCCACATTGTTTGGTCCTACGGAACCGGATTATATTTAGTTCTTTGAACTAGATATTATACATACATATAGTGATAGTGCAATATTACCTACACACATTATAGCAGGAAGACACTGCTATATTTTTTGCATATTTTCTAGCCTAACTTTTCAATCTCATAGCAAACAGAACTTACAACAAGCACTATTATTGTTCTGACAGTACCAATGGAACAATTGTGTTTTTTTCATTTCATTACAAGAGGTTGATAAGAGGCTACTTTACTTATAAGTTACTTATATATGTTTTTTTGTATTATTGCATTATTATTGCCATTACTGTAACATTTACTGCATGCCACATCATTTACTACTAATTCTTGCACAAGGGTAGAACATTTTAGGCTGGTGTTGTACAGCAACCTAGTCTAATTTATTGTCCTAACCTGGTGTAAGGGTAAGAATTTTACACTTGTCTAGAGTTGAACACATATTACAACCTAGCAAGTACATATTTTTATGCAGTATTTAAGACAACCCGAGTTGTGTTGTCAATATGATATCAATATAACATTAGTACAATTTAACTATAATCATTTCACCTTTGAGTGTTAACCTGTGTCTCTGTACCAACCAAGAGTGATAATGATGGGCTAACTTGCGGATACCAGCATTGATACAGGTCTACCACTCAAATTATAGTGTGTATGATTTTACAGTGTATATTTAAATATAGTCTATACGACTAACAAGTACTTCCAAAATGTCTACTGTCAAAAATGTCCAAATAACCCTCACAGGATTGAGGGATCATTTATCACGGCAGATTAGCACATGTGATGACATAAGTAAACAAACTCCAGTTAACTATGTAGCATTGGAAAATTATCTTAGGCTTGCACGGAACAAATATGACCGTGTGTTGCAACAAATGAAAGAATATCAAGTTTTACTTCAGAATACCAGTGTTGGTGGAGAAACATTACAAGATGTTATACAAGAACATTCCGATTATGAAGATACAATGTTTACACAGTTACAATACTTTGATGATATCATACATGCCCATAAAGCTAATATAAATATTGTAACCACAACTTCCCAGAAACAGACAGCACCAGAAGTCAAATTGCCATCACTTAGTTTACCAACTTTTTCTGGAAGAGAAGACGAGAGTTGGGACGGTTTCTGGAGCAAATTTGTCGATTCTGTGGATTCTAATGCTAATGTGCCAAAAACAACAAAGTTTACATACTTACAGAGTGTCTTGAAGGATGAAGCGTATCAGGTAGTCTGTAATCTAAATCACACAGATGATGATTATGACAATGCAGTGCAACTCCTGAAAGATAATTACGCTAAACCTGAAAGGACTATCAGAATTCTAACACAGAGACTGTTAGACATTAAACCTCCAAATAATACTGCAGTCTCACTCCAAACCTTCAGATTGGAGCTTGAGTCCATACTCAAGGCACTTAAAAATAAAGTGAACCTGGATGAGTCAGACTGGATAATACAAGTCCACATGACACGGAAATTACCCAGGGACATACTGGATAAGTTGTTTGTATTAGTAGGTAAGTCATCCTTGACTGTAAATGAGATTACAAAGGGTTTACAAACCATCATAGAACGAGAAAGAGTTAATCCAGAAGAAAAACCATCTAAACCCACATCTGCTACTAATAGTAAACAACAGAGTACAAACAGTGCTCCAAACAAAGCTAAAACATCTTCCCCCTCCACAAAGTGGAATCAGGGCAGTGTAGGAACATATGCAGTTGGTCCTTCCAAACCTACAGTCAACGCATCACCAAAGACGGTGACTCCTCAAGATACTGTTAATGTCTGGAAACCATGTGTGTTTTGTGAGCAATCACATTCCATGTACAATTGCAGACGCTACCCTGATCGTGCAACACGCATAAAACGACTCAAGGAGTTATATAGATGTAGCAAGTGTATAAGGGAACATCATCCCGACAATTGCACAACAGCAATGCGCATCTGCACTAAGTGCCATAAGGGTCAACACCATACTGCACTTTGTGGGGACACAAGTATAAAGTCTCCCAAACCACAGGAGGAGGAAGGAGCTACAGCATCAGTAAAACTTTGTACTGTGTTACCTGACATAAGTGTCTTCACAACCAGGTCTAACCATAAATCAGCTCTACCTACTGCACGATTGATCATTAGAAATGGAAAGAATAAAGCCACCGTACGTGGATTATTTGATCAAGGGTCCCAACTGACCTTTATATCCAAGGAGTTGGTAGATAAACTGAAACTTACACCTGTAGAGGAGACACGGATAAACATAAAAGGATTCCTGACTAACTCAGGAGCCCGAACTTACGGGGTAGTACGACCCACAGTACGACTAGGTGGTTATGTACGAAAAGTACCAGCACTAGTAGTAGATAGATTTCCAACAGACCTGTATATAGAAGGTCTAGGAACAACAGCCAAATTCCTAGAAGAAAAGGGAATTCCTTTGGCTGATAACATTACATCGGACAACCTTTCCGATATTGGAATCCTTATGGGATCAGATGTCTACCATAAGTTTATCATAGGAAAGGAAGATTACCACGGTATGAACGTGTTACCATCTGCAGGTGGCTATTTACTAACAGGCCCAGTATTACGGCTAAAACAACCCGCACCTGTGGATCACCAACATGCCAACACAGTAATGGTTGCATGACTAGGAGAACAGTCTCCACTGCAACTCAGAGACATTTCCGAGGATGAGCTTGATCCCCCAGTATATAAGTTATGGGACCTGGCAACTCTCGGCATTGTCCCTGAACAACCTAGTCCAGATGATGACTGGACTTATAAACAATACCTAGACTCAGTTATCTACAAAGATAA